AATACAACACAAACACATACAACACAAAAACAGACAAAATAATACTCAAAAAACGCCCTTCCCCAGCCAATGACACAGATCGTAACCAGTAGAGAAACAATCAATCCAAGTAATATCCGAATTCCTAGGCCCAACTCCCAAAACTGCTGCCGAACGCCTATACAGAAGCTAAACCTGGATCCCGATATGAACCCGAATCAATCCACCTTCGACCGAGAGGACAACCGGCGATCGGGCCCATCCCTTTCCAACACCAGAGAACCGGAGGGAAAGAAGTTGCCCGTTCCTGGCTTCCCTGCAACTCCGGCACCCCAACCACGGACAAGACGCCGGAGTCCCTTGCCATCCGCCAACCTCAATGAAGTAGCTCACTTTACAAAATATGCTTACTAATCCACAAACTGAACTGCCTTCACCCTACATGCTCTTTTTAGGATCGATTAGCACATTGATATAAACAGTCAAAGGTACATCAACTTATCCAAAAAAATCAGAGTCTAGCACCAAAGCGAACAACAATACCCTCTTTACGCAAAAGTTCTAGGAAACACATAAAATAAACAAAACAATCCATAATTTCAACAACTTAATTAGAAAAAAATGGAGGGCCTCAATTGATACAACACACACACAATATATATATTGTGTGTGTTGTAAAAAGACCTATATATATATATATATATATATACTAACATAAACTGAAAAAAGACCTGCAACAAGATACAAAGGATCTTAATGTAATTATGCCATCAGAAGCTTCCCGTTACTCTTTCGTCTCCCCCAATTAAGAAAATTATATTAAAAATAAAAATACCACATAGAAACACATAAACCTCTCTTAAAAAAAAAAAAGTAAAAAGAAATCAGACACATACAAATCTAATCTCAGCTTTAAAAATATCAAAGAATAAATTTTTCAAAATCGAAAACTGACTCATGTAACCTAAATAATGTATTAATTTTTTTGAAAAAATGAAAGCTTACTTAAGAAATTGTAACCTAAATTGTAAATGTATTAATTTCTTTTTTTAAAATGAAAGCTTACTTAAGAAATAGCAAAGACATTGTAATCGGCTCTTCTTGACACTGCGGACTCCATGCCGTCTAGCTTTGATCCATCGGCCCACAGGTGAGGGAAATTGCATCGCCGTAGACGCGATCGCGGCCGTACCGACCGGCAATAGAATTGATATTAAGCGTACTCAATGACGGAGTTTTGAGGAGTGCGACGTGGCTTAATGAGAAAAGGCTGGACACGGTTTGTTATCGTGCAAAAGATCCTGGGTCAGTTAGGTTCAGTAATGCTAAGGACCCATTGGCTCCGTTACCGAGCCAACAACCAATTATAAAGCTCCATGTGAGGTTGTCCCACATGACTCTAATATAGGACAGCCCCACATGGAGCTGTCCCATTGACGGTTGGCTCCGTTAGAGAGCCAACAGTTGGCTCCCTAGCATTACTACAATTAGGGTCGCAAAATGAAGGAAGGGGTTCCTTTTTATAGATAAGAGAATAACTAGATACTAGTACAACACCCGTGTATTATACGGGGGCTTGCTAATTCTTTTTTTAAAATCTAAAATTAATGAGAAAAAGTAGTTTGAAAATTTAAATACCTTTTGTAGGAATATATATTATTATATATTTATTATGACACTTTTTATTTGTGCAACTTACTTGTATTATATTATACTAATTTTTTAACTTACAATATATAACTACACTACATATAAATATATCAATTGAGAAATAATTTTATTTTTCTAATGAATTTTAATAAATATTATTATTTTTTATTATTATAAAGATAAATATAATTTATTTATTTCATATATACAATATGGATGTCAAATCGAAGATCATCAAAAGATGATTAATTTGATATATTATATATGTAAAATCGATAAGAAATACAAAAGTTATCAACTTTTAAAATACATTTATAATTCAATAGCTTATTGAAGGAAACAAATCAAAATTCAAGGATATATTAGTCACTCCAATGCTATGGCTTTGAAAGCCAATGATTTTGAACACATGTCAATCAATGATTGTAATGTTAATCCATGTAGGAATAATGTTAAAAGAGTAGAAATTTGAATCAAACTTGTATCTCCAATGCATCAATTTGATAAGAAGTTATTTGTATAGGTGGACCAATAAAAATAATCATTAATACAAGAACAATAAAAAATTAAGTCAAATATAAAGTGAATTAATTAGACATCATGTT